GTGTTTTTTGTTTCCCCTTTATCTTGGTGTCCTGAAATCTTGTGATAAGAGGTGTTGGTATAGTTCCTTAAATTTTTGACTTTGGAAGATTTCTCAAAAATAATACATGTATTTAAATAAATATATAATATGTAGTAAAATATAAATATTAAAAACCCATGAACCTATCACTGAGTTTCCTAAAACATTAACAATTAGGTTGAGACTCCTCCTTAATTGCATTCCTCTTATTCCAAGATGAATCCTGAATCTGTTGTTTACCCCTCCTGCACATTTATTCTTTTACCACATAGAATATATTTTAATGTACACAATTTTTGCATGTTTGTAAACTCTCTCTCTTTACATGGATGGCATCATCACGTATATATATTCCTGCCATCTGTTTCTTTGCTCAGCATTGTTTGTGAGATTCACCTACTCTGAGTGTGGGTATTCAGTTTCACCACTGCATGATATTCTAGTTTGCATATATCATAATATATATGACCTCGTCTGCTGAAGGTTTTGGGATTGTTTCTGATTTTTAGCTAATAAAAAGGAACTGCTGCAAATATTCTGTGCATGTCTCCTGGAGCCCATGTAGAAGAAATTTTGCAGGGAAATGGTCCTTAGGTACCAGCATCCTGGAGCCATCTGAAGAGCTTTAAAAATTCAGATATCCAGGCTGGGCTTTAAATTGATTAAGTCCAAAAATTAGCTGGGCATGGTAGGTAGCATGCACCTGTAGCTCTGGTTACTTGGAAGGCTGAGGTGGACAGACCACCGGATCCCAGCAGGTCGATGCTGAAGTGGCTATGAGTGTGCCACTGCACTCCAGCCTGGGTGATGAAGTGAGACTCCGACTCAAAAAAAAAAAAAAAATCAATTAAGCCAGAATCTCTAGTGATGGGTCTGACATGAACACTGTGACTCCAATGAGCTAAGGGTGGCTGGCGAACACTGCCCTAGACCGATGACTCAAAGTGATACTCAAGGGGTGGCCCTCCTTCACCTGGAAGCTTGTTAGTTGTGCATGAGCAAGCAAGAATCTGTCTTAGCAAGACCTCAGGGGTAGCCACAGGCCATGCACATCTTCACCTACTGGGCACTGTCGGATTCTGCAGAGGATGGTGGCAGTGGTCTACACTGCTGGGCACTTGTAGGGCTCTTTCTCCATGGAAGCTCGTTGCCTTCGGTACTAGGAAATATTCTGTATCATTTCTTCAAATGCTTCCTCTCCTGTTTTTTGTTTCAGCTTTGAAATTCCTGTGAATCCCTATTAAGTTGGACCTTCTGTATCAATCTTATCTTTTTGTTGTCCAGCGTTCTTGACTTTGTGCTTTTTTCGGGTTTGTATGTCTTACTTTCTGGAGATTTTCTCTCATCTCTTCCATCCCTTCTCATGCATTTTAAAAGTTCTATTATAATTTTCGAGAACTTTAACACTGCCTTTATAAAAAATGTGATTTTTTTTTTCCAAATGGTGTAATATCTTTTTTTTTTTTTTTTGAGGCGGAGTCTCACTCTGTTGCCCAGGCTGGAGTGCAGTGACACACTCACGGCCACCGCAGCCTCGACCTGCTGGGCTCAGGCGATCCTTCCGCCTCAGCCTTCCAAGCAACTGGAACTACTTGTGCGCACTACCACGCCTGGCTAATGTTTTGACTTATTGTAGAGACGAGGTCTCATCAGGTTGCCCAGGTTGGTTTGGAATCCCTGAGCTCAGGCAATTCTCTCACCTGGGCCTCCCAAAGTGCTGGGATTATAGGCTTGAGCCACCACGCCGGCCTTCACTGGTGTAATACCTTCACAGAATTTTCCTCTGACTCCTTTTTTCTGTGTATTGGAGTCTCTATTTTTGGTTATTGGATTTCATCAAATGTTGGGTGTCCTTGTCTATCCCTACTGTGAATGAAACACAATGAAGTGGACAGGTAGCTCTGTCCATGTGGGTAGGGCTTGTGGGTTGGGAGCCTCACAGTGGTGACTGGGCAGAGACCCACTGTTTAGGGACTCTCCAATGACAAGGTCTGTCTGTTCCCTTTGATCAGTTTCCCAGAGAGAAATGTAATGTCTTGCTTTGTGGGAAGACGGATGGGGAATAGGTCCAGCTTCTACCAGGGAAAGGGGGCTCAGCATCTTCCTCTTAACCTTCCCTGTTTCAGTAAGGCAACTCACCTCAGCCTTGGCTAGGCTTGGGATCTCCAATCTGGAATTATTCTAGTTCAGCCTTGGCCAGCAGTAAACCTGTCTTCTTTTTATTTTTATTTTTGAGTTGGAGTCTCACTCTGTTGCCCAGACTGGAGTGCAGTGGCCACTCCCGGTCACTGCAGCCTCGACCTGCTGGTCTCCGGCGATACCTCCGCCTCAGCCTTCCGAGTAGCTGGAATTACAGGCATGCGCTACCATGCCCGGCTGATTTTTTGATTTATTGTAGAGATGAGGTCTTGCCAAGTTACCCAGGTGGGTCTCGAACCCGTGGGCTTAGGCAATCCACTCACCTCAGCCTCCCAAAGTGTGCCATTACAGGCTGAGCCACCGAGCCCGGCTAGTAAACCTGTCTTCTACTGTGATCTGGGAAGGGAAGTCACCAGGCTGTGAAGGTCAGAAGCAAGGACCTTGGGGTCTAACCACTTCTTTTAATCAATATTATTTTCAGACCCATCCTGAACCTCTACCTTAGGGACACCTGGTCCCTTCAAGTTCTGAGCATTTGGGAGATTCTGCAGAGTAATGGGCTTGTTCATGGTTGGCTTCCTTGACATTTTAGGGAATGGGGGAAGCTGATACTGTACTATCTTCCAAGGTTTTCCAGACATCTTTCACTCGTTGCCATCCTTTCTTGTTCTTTTTGTCTTCATGGTTTATGCCAATTTCATTCCTTTATGTCATTTTAATGGGATTTAGGGAGATAGAGGAAAATATGAATGTGCTGAGTCCACCATATGTAACCAGAAGCCCTTGACCATTTAAAAAAACCTTTTTTAAGCTGGGTGTGTTGACTCACACCTATAATCCCAGCACTTTGAAAGGCAAAGACAAAAGGATTGCCTGAACCCAGGGATTTGAGACCAGCCTGGGCAACTTGGCGAGATCTCATCTCTACAATAAATCACAAGATTAGCCGGGCATGGTGGCTCACACCAGTAATCCCAGCACTTGAGGAGGCAGAGGTGAGAGGATTGCTTGAGCTCAGGGGTTTGAGACCAGCCTGGGCAACTTGGTGAGACCTTGTCTCTACAATTAAAAAAAAAAAGTAGCTGGGTGTGGTGGCACATGCCTGTAGTTCCAGCTACTTGGAAGGATGAGGCAGAAGGATCGCCTGAGCCCAGCAGATCCGAGTCTGCAGTAGCCGTGAGCATGTCACTGCACTCTAGCCTGGACAATAGAGTGAGACTCTGAGTAGAAAAAAAAAAATTAAACTGGGTGTGTTGGCACACACCTGTAATCCTAGCTACTACAGAGTCTGAGGTGGGAGAATAGCTTGAGCCCAGGAGTCTGAGACTGTAGTGTGCAATGACTACTTGTGACTAGGCACTGCACTCCAGGCTGTGCAACACAGAAAGACCCTCCTCTCTAAAAACCATGCATAAATAAAAGCACATGTACCTACACATTTGTATAACTCATTCTGTTTATCTGTATGTATACTTAATTTTTTTTCTTACATAGATGGCTGTTTTTTCCATTCAACATTAGGTTTGTGAGTTCTACTAATGCATACAGATCTAGTTCATTCCTTTTCTTGTGGCTTAGGAAGTGTTCCAGCAAATCAGTGCACCGCATTTTTTCTCTCCATTTCTCTACTGCTGCATTTCAGAAACACAGGCGATTGTGGTCTTTTGATCAATACACTGGCTCAATGCAAATTCTAATCTTTATTGTTTTAATTCTGAAGCATAACGTGTCACAGGGAAACAGTGAATTTTTTTTACCATCTGCCAGCGGCAAGGGCAAAAGTTAACGGTGGGGGCCGAGAGTTCCTGACTTGGAAGGAAAAAGCTCTTCCAGGACTGGGGTGGGAGAGGGCAGGAGGAAGGGGAGGGTGTGGACACTGACACACACACACACACACACACACACACACACACACACACACACACACGTTCACACACACACATACACAGACATTCTTTCTCTTCAGGGAAGGGTTTTCCAAAAGCATCTGCCTGCACTCTGTATTACGTATTTTTCATGCCAAACCAAACCTACTGAAGAGAAGTGAGTTAATAGCTGAGGGGGCCATGTGCTCTGGCTGTGGACTCTTCAGTGAGTGAATCCACAGCATTCACCAGAATGTTCCCAGTTCCTCAAGCCAAAGAGAAGCTGAGCAAAAATCAGGGAGGGTCAGTGAGAGGATTCAAAAAAACCTAACAAAGGGCCAGTTTCAACTATGGCTCCTGAGTTAGTCTGAGGGTGGGAGAGCACCCTCCCACCTCCTAGAGCTGAAGGGAGAGGAAGAGGTGGGCAGATCTCTCTGCCACCTGCTTCGGCTCCAACTCTTGCCTCTAAGGGCCCACCCTCAGCTTTGGAGGGACATGCTTCTTCTTGCCATTAATACGATTATGGAGAAACCTGGCCTGGCAGCCCCTCGGATATTGCAGTGCATATGAGACGGCCCCCCAAGACTGGTCTAAAGGCCCTTCCAGCCCAACCCAAGACACACACAAACAGGAAATAAACACAGGGTAGGCTGGGGCTGGGGGCAGGGGAAAGGTAATAAATAAGGTCAGGGGCTGAGTGCAATGGTAGGAGGGGGTGGCGGAGGTGGAGGGGCCCCAGGAGAGAAGGAGAGCAGAAAGGCACTGGGTAGGGGAAGCAGACTCAGACCCCAGCACTGGTTTGTTGAGTTCCGGCCAACAGGGCAGCTGGCAAGGGTGCAAGGACCAGTCAGGAAGGAGCTGGCAGGGTCTGGCTCCAGCTCTCTCTCTCCCTTGAAATCTTCTACTGGAAAGTCTGTCCCATGCACCAAATACGTCTCAACCCAGGGAGGTGAGGAGGGGCTGGTTGGAGCCACATCAGCGGCGGGGACTTGCCCAGGTGTGTCTTTTGCCTTTGGAGGAGAGAGAGAAAAGGCCACCATAGTGAGTGGGGGTGGAGTCCTTCCTCAGGGACAGCTTGACCTAGGGAATGAAAACTGGGGGGGGGAAGCCGGGCTGGGTGGCTCAGCCTGTAATCCCACGCCTTGGGAGGCTGAGGTGAGTGGACTGCCTGAGC